AGAGGAATGAGTGGGTTTCTTTTAGTCATTTCCTTGGTGCAGGCGTAGTCATGATAGCTGGTCCACACTGAGAGAGCATTTTATTACCATGCAGACTTTTAGGACTTAATTCTTTTTTGCCCAAGATTCCATCATACCAGCTCTTCGTTGAGTTCAACCAGTATTCTGCATGGATTAATCCTAGAACTCAAACTGCTATCATGTAGTATTCCCTTTTCTCTTTTTCCAGGGAAGCCCACAGTTTAGACTCACAGGTGTGTGTGTATATATTTTCTTATTCTGAATCCCTAGTTTTATCATTCTCTTGTGCTGGTGATAGAAAAGCTTGTTACACTAAAGCCTCATCCTAAATGTATTTTTGACGATTCATCGAATCGTTTGACATTCACAATTTTACTTAGCTTTGGACGTATTAAGCAACTCATAATATTCTGGAAACAAATAGGTTCTTTAGGCAGCCTGTGTATTTCATCTTCTAAAATATAACTATATTTATGCAAACATATGTAAAGCATATTATCCCATAAACTCTGTAGCTATGCATATGGCTGTGCATATTATGACAGTCTGGGAGTATGAAATTTAAAACTCCAAATGATTTTCATAAGTAATACCTATTAGTGAACACAGTTCGTTTTTTAAAACTTTTCATCTGTGATTCAGATAAGAAGCATCACAGTTGAATCAGAATTTGGAAGTACAATTTGTTTTGTATTTCTGTACATATATAATGGGTGAAGACTGATTTCTTAGACGGAAATCCATGTTTTAAGTTAACTTGAATTGTACTGCACTTCTGCTGTTTGCTCCTTGTGAACTTGGCCCCCTATGATAGAATGTTTTCAATCACTTTCCACTTCTCTTGTCTCACATCCAGAAGAGATCGGCTGTGTTCTCCCCTGATAGCATGTTTCGGTCACGACTGGGTTTAGGCTCTTGACGCCTTCAGTTTCACTGTAGGTGGGTGGCCTCTGGACCTTCTTTTCATGAAGGAGGTTGTGAGGAAGTTTAGAAGTCAAAAGCCCCTACCATGGGACTCATCAGTGACCCATTGCCATTCTTGAGAATCCTGGTAATCTTGACACCCAGAGATTAGAACCCTTCTTTGGCTTGTACTGAGACACTCAGAAGTCGTCCAATTTGTAGCATTTTTTAGCAGTGGGAGCACTTGGTGGTAGTTGGCAGGCCAGAAAGAGCTATAAATAAATAAAACCCCTACAGCTCTTGCTTCCTTCATTCAAGGGTGTCTGCTGATAAGATGCAAGCATCTGGCAGAAGGAAAGATTCTCAGCAGGTTTAAGTGCTTACCATCATGCTTTCTGGTATCCGAGGCTCAGCTTCTGGTCTCTGCTGTGTTATTTTGGCACTCTATAGACTCATAAGATTAGAGAGTCGGGTTTAAAACTCTCAATATATCATTAAGGTAGTCCAAGGTCCCTTCTTCTCAAGGAGGACTAGCTGATTTCAGGGGGAAAGAAAAGCGGAATCCTGGGCACCTGTAAATCCCTGTAGTTTCGTGCTATGGATTTGTAGCTAATTATACAGCAGGCAATAGTAATGTATAGCTCTTTTGGCACACTCGTTTCAGAAAGAGCAGAACCTTCCAGCAGAGCAAAGAAGGGGCTTGGAAGGAGACTGCAGATGAATGAAGCAATGATCATTTTACTGTAAACGAAAGCTCTGCCATGGAACTGGGGCATCTGAGCAGCAAGGAGGTGGTCAGGGAGACGCCAGCAGAAATACATGGTTCAGATGTGTTTTACAGCTCCTGATTCGGACTCTTCTGCAGAAACATAGTCACGCAAGGAGACTACCACTGGTCACAGCCAGTCAAATTGCTCTTTCTCCTATGGTACTGCTGTTAGCAACCACTAGTAGGTTATTCAGCCGACCTCTTCTGATTCTGCTTTGCTGCCTGATTTCAAAAGATTTTCCTTATCCTGGCTCTGAGTCACAGCTTGATATAACACTGCTTGTTTGCATGCATCCCCATCATTTTCCTATAGGGTCTCCTTTTTTTTCCCCTACAAGTTAGAAGGCAGAAGAATCGGAAACATTTTTATATGATAAAAGATTTATGTAGGGCCAGCTCGAATTCAGCAAAATGAAATTCAGCTGGAAGGGATGGTAAAAGGCTCCGAGAACTTGTGACTGCCAGAGAAATCAGTGTTCCTTAAATAAAGAGGATTCAGCCAGCCGGCAGCAACTCTGACTTTGCATTCATATTGAAGCAGGCTCTCCAGCCATCCTAGGCAAGCAGATCAATAAAATCAGAGGTGACTTAATGCTGAGGACCTCAGGATTCAAAGGATTTGTCTTGTCCTTCTTTAAATTTAGTCTATATCGATGTGGAATGCTACCCTCCGGAGCTGAGGTGAGAAAATACCAGGTCTGGTTTCTGGTTTATGACACTTTATTTAGCAGTGTCCTTGGAAAACATCCCCTTTGATTTCTCAGTTACCACATCTGTAAAATGGAGCTAATCTCCTGGAAGGAAAATGATTCTAATATTTTTCAAAACATGGTGAATGAAGATTCATTGTCTTAAGTTCTCCGAAGACCTAAACAGCAAATATCTTACAAATGAATTTATACTTTTTTTTTTCATATTTGAGAATGCAATTGATTGCCCTATCAGAGATTGAGCAATTTGTTTATTTTTTCATGATGAGTATTCAGTGAAATGGGGCAGATTTTCAGCTACATAAATGGAATATTTGACTCATACACCATCTCTGTGTTGGTTGTTGATTTCTGTGCAGACCACTGATCGAGCTTTCTGGTATATCACAATAGTGTGCAGCATGCCCCATCGGTCGTTTTCTTAAATTGATCAAATAGCCCCTTTATAGAGTAACAAAATATATAAATGATTGTTATGGACACGGCTAAGTATTTACTTTGTAGTAGAGAGTTTAACCTTCCCTGCTTATCTCCCCAACAGCCCCACAGCTTCTTATTCTACCGAAGGGGATAAACTGACTCTAAACTTACCTCCTACATGATCGATTTGAGGCCGGTCCTTTAAAGACGAGATGTTGGGAGTTTTGTTCTTACCCCATACTGCGTAGATGGTGCCCAATTCTGTAACAAAGCAGCAGGGGGCTCCCTGTGCAAGCTAGCGGATTGCTGATAGAGAAGGGCTGTCTTTTTGTTAGTGGCGTTCTTTTCAATTCAGGCCCTTTTCTGCTGGAAACTTGGCCCTCATCCTGGGAAGGACTCCCTGAGGGATTCGAGTGGAGCCACAGAAGCAGTGAGACCGTTTTATTAGTGTAAGAAATTGGTTAACAGTTGAGAGAGATTACCCTGGTTTCTGAATCCCTGAACTCTGGATGCGAAGGAGCCTGAGATGCTTTGTTTGTAGGGTCCTTCTCTCTGAACTGAAGTTTATCGTTTAGAGCCTGTGCAGGTGGCCTTTTTCTTAAGAATCCTTTATATCTTAAAAGGAAGACTTTCCTATATTCTCATTAGCATTTACTATTAGTTTTCTACTTCTGCTGTAGAACCCACGAGTGCTTGTTGTTTGCTGATGAGGACCAGGTGCATGATATCGAAGGACCTCATGTAAACCTCATGTTCTCCCAAAGAAAAACTGAAAGAATCCAAAGAGCAAAGGTGCAGGGTTTTGCAGTCAGAGGTTGCTCTTGCTGCCTTAGGAGTCTGCTCTGTGATACAGGTTTGATGCAGAGAGCATCACTACTCACAAATCACGCGAGGTATACAGTTTGTGTGCAGTGATATGTCACCGCTCTTTATTTATATGGCCAGCTCAGTCTATTCTGCTCCTTTCACTGCCGTGAAGAGTGCATCATTTTCCTCCCTCTCTCCTCCTTCCCACATATCATCAGCACCACCCACTCTGTTCTGCCCATTAAGTCCTCTGTGTGCCAGAAAACCCCAACAATGATTAAATGCTGATAAAAGAGCGTTAGAAGGTTAAGATATCAACCAATCAACCCCCTTACAAGACTCCTAAATTGTGGGTGGTGAGTGTAACTTTTCCCTTTTACCATTGAAAATAAGGACTTTTATTTGGGTTGTTTTGGTTTGTTTGTTTCAGTTGAGGAAATGACTGATGTCAAATTAAAGGGGGAGAAAAGCATTGGTGGTAAAGACCAAAGAATGCAAGAGACTTGCTTCACAGTTTCCATTCTTATCCTAATGTTCCTCTCATGATTCAGAAGCATTCTCTATCAGGAAATTCTAGGGCTTGCCAAATTTAGGTAAGGTTGTTTTCATGGAAGACCCAGAGATTTTAAATGTTTAAATGTCATAATTGCCCTAAATTCATTTCATTTAAAAAAATGTCAATTCATTTTTAACAGTTTGTACTAGTCTAATCAGGGAATCGTTAGTCATCACCTTCCTGCATAATTTTAGTTTTAAGCTCCTATAGCACAGAATACCTGTCTTTCCTATACCACCCCACCCCCACCACTCTACAGGAGTGGGGTGAAAGAGAACTAGAAAAGGTACTTGGGAACCCAGATTCCTGGTGTCTTTTCTCTAGAGGAGAGTTTTTAGGTTCCTCACATATCCTAGAAGGTCAGTTAACGTAGGGAGGGCTGTGGCGTCAGCTTCTCTGAACCTCCTTATGGCATTTTTAGTAAAACAGGAACAAGTAAGATGCTCTCAGAATCTTGTCAAGAATTATGCCTCATGTTGAAACTTAAGATAATATACCATATTATACAGCTTCAATTAATTTTCATGAGCCTGTCTTTTATCTTTATTCTGCATTATTTTTTGGTAATAGAGCTATAGAAAAAAAATAGTAAATACAGTTTGACCCTTTCCATCAACAGCTGCTGTGGTAAGGTAGGTCAGCCTCTTTGGAGGCACCCAGCGGGTGGACGTGTAATGAGCACTTAATTATGTCTGCTGAAGGCCAGAGCCGCCAAACTGGGACTCCTCAGGACTGGTCTGTATCTGCTCTGACAGTTCTTTTATTGTGGCTTTCCCTAACCTATTGGTAACTAACTGTGGTTGTTTAATTACAGAGGGAACATCCCCACGCTAAACAGGTACCGTATACTTAGTTTTTTTCCAATTAAAAGCATCTTTTTTTGTAACTTAGTGAAACCAGGAGAAAAAAATAACACTTCACTTGACAAGCTAATATGTTATCTTTCTGCTGGGAGGTCCTGCACTCCCCTTTGGACATACTAAGCTATACTTTCTGTTTGGAAAACATGTCTTCAGCTTTTCTCCAGCCGTTCAAAAAGCAACACTCAAAAAGTATGGAACAGCTTCTGTCTAGCTGTGGAGGATAGGGGAATGAATCACCTGTCCAATGTTCAGCTTTGCTGTAGACATCTTCTTCTGCTAAGCTCTCCATCTAGTTTGGGGCTTTCAGAGGAGAAACCCTTATGGTCACTCTTATCCTGGCAAACTGTTCCTCAGTTTTTCAGTTTTTTAGTTTCTCTAATTTGTATCTCCTTTTTGAGGAATGCACAGGCAGAAATAGCTGATCTCATGTTTTATCAGTTTGTTAGCTGTTTTTCTAAAGTATTAACATTGTCATGCAAGTCAAGTTTTATGTCAGACCTGTAATGAGATTAACACTGGAAGAGTGTACTGGAAGAGTGTATCTAAAGTTTTGATGTGTGTATCCCTGTGAAGACGTTTCCAGACTGATATAACACAGAGTGGTACTTTTAATATGTTGAGTTCCTTCTGCTCCTGAACCCAGCAAGGCAACACAGTGCAAGTTTGAGAGGATAGTAATTCTGATTGGCATCCCCCGAGTGCTAAAGCTGGTGCTGAGCTCTTTGTAGATGACCAGCTGTACACCGAAAGATGTATAGACTTGTGTTTATTTTGTGCCTCTCCCTTTAAATATTAAGTCATCACCACTGGTTATAGCTTTTATAGCCTCCAATTTGTATGGGGAGAGGAAAGGGAGTGCTTCTGTTTGGTCCTCTCATCTGCTCTTGGAGGGTAGGCTTGCTTCATTCCTGCCTGCCTTTAGCTGTCCTGGCCCAAGAGCATAGTACCGGGGGAAACGGAAATGCCATGGGGTTTCAGTTGAGCGATAAAGATGCTTAACCCCATGCTTGCCGCAAACACAACCTGTTAGCAACTTCAGGAGTTCCCTTTAAGGATTATCTGGACTCTCTTTCCTGTCTAACACCAGGCAGGTAGAAAAGATACAATGCCTCACAAACTTGCTCCTTTACTAAATACATGTGGTGATCCTAGAAAAGAGGATGATAGCCTTTCTGAGTTCATCCAGCTCTGAATCCCGGTTTCTAGTGAGCGCCATGTATAAGACTTGCTTGCCATGTGCTTCGTCTGTCTGTCTCATTCATGGTATCAGTGGTTTCCTCTCCCACTCTACCTTCTAGTCCCTGGTACTGTCAGAAGATGAAGTACTTTTTCATGGTCATCTGCCAAGGGATTAAAAACCTGGAGTGTCAGTCTCTATAGTCTGTGTGAGCAACAGTCCCCTTTATAAAAATATTTATAAAAAATTCCATTGCTGTTTATATTTGCAACAGAGTACAATATGTACCCAGATCTCGAGTCCACCTTGCTGGCTGTCTTGTGCCCTGCAATACTGCAGGTGGTGCACTTGGAGGAGATTTTTGAGCAGCTCCCCAAAGTTCGGGTGCCATTGCCATGCTCGGAACTTGCTTCAGCTCAGTATGCCGGTAACGTGTCGGGCAAGTCCTGGAGGCATCCTTTAGCGCGGTCCCTCCTAAGAGGCTGTCCTGATTGGCTGGGCATCACTACAGTGTACAGCAGCATCTGTCAGTACTCACTGCTGAGGCACATCAAGGAATGTCCAGACTCGTTATATTTTTAGATTGAACAGATCCACTCCCTTTGAGCATCTCCATTTACACCTGTTGGTCCTGCTTACACATACTTTGAGACGCATGCTCTGCCCTTGTGTACTCTGCTGGGATGAATTAAGGGCTTTTACTGACAGTATGTTTACTTTGGTATAGAAATGTTTAAATATAATCTTTTTTTCTTTTTCTTTTTTTAAAAATTAAAAATAATTAAAATAGACTGAAATTATAATTTTTTAACCACTACAATATTGTAAAGTAAAAATGTTTAAATATAAAAAAGGAAATTCGGCAAAACTGTTTCTCTTTCAAAAAGGGAGGAGCTGTGATTCTTATGACTACTCTTCCCATCAGCCCAGTAAAGGAAAAGATAGATACCTCAGTAAAGTTCCTTTTATAGACTGTGACTTGCTTCTCTCTGATGAAACACGGTTTTTTGTTTTTGTTTTTGTTTTTAATAATGATTCACTAAACCATTCCAGATGACTTAGAGTTGTTGTACATGTGGATATCTATCTGTGAATCCTTAATCTATTACAGTTCCTAGAGAAAAATACCTCCAGTGTTGCCTAGCTACCACTCACTTGGCTGGCTTACTTCCTTTTAAAAGAGAGGATGTTTTAGGGAAGGGGAAGATGCAGGATGGTTTTTCACCCCTATGTGCTCTTCATTCACTAGACATGTCATGATGTCAGTGTGTGAAAACTGCCATATTATTCCTTAGGTTTTTACATGGAGAAATTTACGGGGTGGTAAAAATATTGTTTGTGTGGAAGGAAAATCCCAAGGCAAGGGCTAATGGGCTAATGTGAGTCTAGTAACATGGGCTTCTCCATAGTGGGTCAAAAACCAAACCTGCTCTCTGCCACCTGACCCTGTCTCACCTCTCTCCCAGCAACTTTTCTCTGTTGTGGCTCTCCCAGTCCTTGCTCCTACCCTCCTTGTCTAATGCACTCGATTCAATTACCATTTAGAATGTCCTTCTCCTCCAACCTCAACCACTACGGCATGACTCACGTAGCCAGTGTCAGCGACGTGCTGCTGGACAACGCGTTCACTCCGCCATGCCAGAGGATGGGCGGGATGGTCTCTTTTCGGACCTTTGAAGATTTTGTCAGGTAAGGCATCTCAGATTTCTGCGGAGTGAATAGAGGCTCCTGGATTAGCCATGAGCCAGCTAAGAAGATGTAGCCCTCGCTGTTACATGCCCCGGGAGAGGTATCTGTCCTTCCTTTCCACCCTCCCGTGCAGACCCTACAAGCCTGTACTTGCTATGTGGGTCTGGTCAGAAAAAAAGGAACAAACAAAAACCATCTTTTCCTCAATAGCTAGTAGAAGAAGCTGTCTGCTCTGTGATGAGTGAAATGTCAGGAGAAATTAAACACAACACTAGAGTGAGCCCCACCAGAGACGATACATCTTTTGATTAAATGCATTCAGCATCTATCTCTTGATGTATACTGATGCGTTACCCTAGGGGGAGGGGTAATTACATTGGTCTGTCACTGCTCTGGTCCCAGGCTCTTTCTGTTACTTTAAGACTGATGATGACAGCAATGCTCGTAGCTTACATATGAAAAACAAACAAACAAAAAGACACAACAGAAAAGCTCGAGATTGTTCTTTTTTAAAAATAGAAAATATATATGGTTTATTAAAGTTGAAACCATCCATCCTTCTAATTTCTGCCATGTGGTAGAAATTCTACACATCCTGTCTAGCCACTGGTGATTCTGTTCAGTTGACTGCCGAGCACGGGGTAGGACAGATGGTTCTTTTAGACAGAGCTGGCCGTGGCAGCGTTCGTCTTCCTGCCACTTCGGGTTTCTGCCCCTTTTCATGGTGGGTGTTTCTTTGGTATTTGGTATTTTTTAGGATCTTTGATGAAGTGATGGGCTGCTTCTGTGATTCCCCACCCCAAAGCCCGACATTCCCTGAGGCAGGTCACACGTCTCTGTATGACGAAGACAAGGTAGGGTTGTCCCCTTTGGGAGAATGCTTTGCCTCTTCAGATACAGAACTTGTACTGTATACTCTGTCTCTCTTAAACATTTATTTATTCAAATTTTTTTATCTATTTGGCTGCAGCGGGTCTTAGTTGTGGCACGTGGGTTTAGTTGCTCTGAGGCCTATAGGATCTTAGTTCCCCGACCAGGGATCAAACCCACATTCCCTGCATTGCAAGATGGATTCTAAACCACTGAACTGCCAGGGAAGTCCCCTGTGTATTCTCTTTATTATTATTATTATTATTTAATTGTATATACCTCATTTAAGTATTTTTGGAAACAGGTAGAACATAAAGTCTGACCTAAAAATAGAAATAACCGTATTAAGCATGGAATCCACAGTGTAGAATGAGCTCAGCTCTGTCCTCTACAGCTGCCCCGGGTCTCTGAATATTATTTCAAAGACTTGAGCTTCGGTTGCTTTAACTCTTAGTCATGGATGGCTTGTGTATTTGCAGAGCAGTGCTTTTGTATCTTCAGTGAACGGTGGGCTTCAGATACCAGAAGGAAATGGGCGTTTCGTTTAAAATTTTGTTCTTTTATTAAACCTTCTTTCCATTTTTCAGTAAACACTTGGTCCTGGTTTTTCCCTACCAGGTTATTTTCCCATAGTGGTTTGATGCTTCTCCTGTTTGACAAATGTTAGGAAATATATTACGTGGGAATATGTTCAGATGGCTTCTTTTCCTCCTTTTCCTTTATATTACATGAAGAAATGTTGCAAATGGTTTCATCCCCATTTTATCGGCGAAAAAGTTGAGACAGAGTGGTCTTCAAGTCCATAGCAAGTTAAGATTTGGGGCCACCTCTAATTAATGCCTTTGCTGCCTTACTGTTTAAAACTTAGGTGTCTTTAATCTCCATTGTGGGTGTTGGGCACTGGTTTCCTTTTGCTTATTCATACAAGTGGGCAACCCAAAAGTATTCTGGGGGGCGGGGCGTGTCTCTTTTCCTAGTATCCTACCAAGTACTGTAACTTTTCTCTGCCCCCGTATTAGCTAGCCTCCTGAGTGTGTTTTGTTGTATTCTTGGGTTACAGGTCCCCAGGGATGAACCAATTCACATTTTGAATGTGGCTATCAAAACAGACTGCGACATCGAGGATGACAGTCTAGCAGCTATGTTCCGAGAGTTTACCCAGCAAAACGTAAGTCTTCGTGTGGGTGGACGCTGGTGATGGCCTCTTTCCTGCAGCCTATGTGACATATCCATCCTTTTCTCATTTGCTACTTATAAGGCCTGATCACTGATAATGGCTGTGTCTTTGACATAGTTCTGCCTCTAGGGGTAAAATTCCAAAGTGATTTAATAGTGTGAAATACGTATCTTTTTTATGTCAAGAAGTATAGAACTTAAATATTCAAAATGTTTTAGGGAAGAGAAGTTATATTGCTGAATCTTTTCCAGAGCCCCAGTCTTGAACTTCACCTGCTGAATTTCCTTTGATGACTTAACCACACATGTCTAGGCCCAGTCTCCCCCCACGCTCCCTCTATGTCTTTCCCTCCCAGCCTTGAAAATATCAGTGATAATTCCATCCTCCTTTCAGTTTTATGTCACTTGGATATCTTGTGTTGACATCGTGGTCCATAGTTGAGGTCTGAATTCCCATCATTTTCCTTCACATCTTCTGATTGCCTCATCGCCCACCAAAAAACTAAACAGGAACAAAAATAACCTCAAGTAACCAAACCCTTTGCCCCCAGTCATTCAGAAATCATTGACTTCTTTCTCTTCTTTGCAGTTCCCTTATTCTACCCCTCCCTTCCTGCCCATTCCTTCCTTCCTTCGCTTCCAGCCCCCTTCATTTCAGTTTTTTAATTCCCACTACCATCTCTCTAGTTTAGACCCCTCCTCCCCTCACTCCTGAGACACAGTGACAGGTTTCCCTCTGATCCTCACACGTCCCGTCCTGATAGTCTCCATTCTGCTGACTAGCACAAAGGTAAATGTCCACGGTGCCCCCTTGCACTCAACACTGATTCTCCCTAACCTTCCGGACACCTCCTTGCCTTCCTGTTTAACATTAGCCCATTAATGAGGACCCACAGTCTAGCCTTTGCTGCTCCCTGAAAAGACCCAGGTCTTTGTCTCATCTACCTTGTCTGCCTGCTCTCCTCGACTGCCCCTTATCTGGAATGTTTTCTTCTTTCTTTTTCTTCCTTCCCTCCTTCCTGTCTCCCCCTACCTCTTTCTTTCTAAATCCTGCTTGTTTTAAGAGCTGTCTCCAATTTTCCCTCTTTTGTGAGGACTGCTCTGTGTAGCCATAACTAAGATGTATTTTCTTCTCTTAGATTTCTAGTTGGTCAGCATAAATTGATTAATAATAATAGTTTTAATTTCTAAACACCATCTGTGTAAATTTTTTAACTTATTAGCACCTTACCACAATCCCATGGGGTTAGATTAATCAGATTAGTCCAACTATACATGTGGGGAGAAGCTCAAGGTCAGAGAGCTTAAGGCCTGTTAATCACCAGCTGGTAGGTGATGGAGAAAAAAACTAGAATTTAAGGCTTTGGTACCAGCTCTAAGGGGCACAGATCTAGGTACTTTAGTAAATATTACATTCAGATGCTTGTAGTCTGATGTTCAAAATGATCGTCTGTGCTGTATGATAGATGCCAATGTACCCTTCCTCGGCAGCCCTTCATTACAATGCCAATGTGTGCTCTTTGAATGGAAAGCATCTAGCCTGTAGTGCTTGTCATAAAGAACTCAATAGATTTTTTCTTTTTTGGCCACACCTGGTGGCATGTGCAATCTTAGTTCCCCGACCAGGGATTGAACCCACATCCACTGCATTGGAAACATGGCATCTTAACCACTGGACCACCAGTGATGTCCAATAGATTTTTAAAAATTCAACAGTGTAAACAGTGCCATAGATGTTCACATCCTATCACGCTAATGGTCAATACCTAGGAAAAGATGGTAATTTTGTGCTTAAAGTGTGTCCTAGCATTTTCCCCATGATGCCTTCACAGCATGTGAACTGGAATGTGGGGCTGAGGTGAGGAAAGGTCCTTCCAGAGAAGTCAAAGTCGGGGGCCATGCCTGGGAATTTTTCTCTGGAAGAGAAATCTACCTTCTGTCTTGCCCTTGACTGGTGCGTGATTGCATAAAATTAACCTGAGACCGGTGACCACGGAGATGGGAGAGTCCTAGCTTTGTGCTTGGCTGCTGGTATTGGTGCTTGATGAAGTGATCTGTGAGCTTCTTCCCAGGCTTTGAGCACTAATTCCCCACATTTGATTGTTTCAGCCTCCACTTAGGCTTTTTATTACACTCAGATCAAAGGGCTGTATGTCAGCACACATTGATTTAAAGAGGCAGTTTCTCCATTTTCACTATGTTTATTTGTAACATTAAGTGATGATAAGAAATTTTCTTTTTTCCTTGGCTGGCCTTGTAAACTGAGGCACAGAGAAACCCAGAGTCTTTGCCTGTGGCTGTCCAGTAGGGAAGGGTAGACTGTGTCGACAGTCCAAGCCTGGAGAAGCTATGCATCACGTACCGTGCTTATCCAGGAATATTAAACATTTTCACCTACTTGTTTTGAAAAAATATAAAAAGAAAAGGAAACAAAAACAGTTAAAAAAAAAGCTGAAGTGATAACTAGTTTTGTTTTTCACTTCATGATCATGCTTCTAGCAGTTTAGAAAAAGTTTTTTTTTTTAAAGCACACATTAAACTATCAAATAGGTTGATCCAAATTGTCCAAATAATCTTCTAGTCCCAGCATGTCTTTTTTTCTCTCATAGAAATTAGGATCATATATTTGTAAATGACTTGTGGAGGAGATTGAAGCAGTCAGTGTAAATGGAGTTTCTCCAGGTGCTGACGCCTAATCGCTGGGTAATAGCTGTGGACTTGCTGTGAGCCCTGCATTATTACAATGTAATCAGAATCCTGTTGCTCTGCTGTTATTGTTAGCCACTTGTGGAATTTTTAAAGCAATAACAATTTTGATTTTAAATCATGGCATTATTAAAGTTATTTTCTTCCCTTGCCGGAACATAGCTATTGATGCTTATCTTCGAAGGAGTTGGCTGTAGTGGAATTCTTTGTTGGTGTCAGAAGAAATGTTTCTATTCCTTGGCATACAGAATCAGAGAACTGCCCCACCACTGCCCCACCCCACCTTTTTAACGCTCCCTCTTCTCCCTCCGCTTCTCCCTCCATCCCTTCCTCCCTTTTTCCCTTCCTTCCTCTCTTTCTTTCTTATTGTAGTATCAACGCTTCGTTATTTACACTAGTGAGTATGATGCCCATACCAATCATTTTTAAATGTAGTTAAACCAAAATTTATTCATATTTGATCTAGGAATTTATTATTAGGAAATTAATTTTTTCTACTTTTGCTTATGCTGTTGATTAGTTTTGTTACTAAAAATTGCCATAATAAAAATGGAAAAATAAGAGGAAATGGCCCAGGGATGTGCTTATTTATAGGGGGAAGCCAGTTTGGATTTAAAATATACATAGTATCAAGAAAGTTAAGAATTGGTTTATGAATATATGTCTCAGAGTTAAGCAAAGTATACGAGCAAAGTACAGTCCGGATGTGAGTTGTGAAAGTCAGCATAGTTTTTGTATTGGTGTTATTCATGTATGTTTTCAGGTTCTCCAACAAGTGGGATTGCTTTTCTGCTTGTTGCCTCTTTATTAGGGACCTTTAAGAGCGTATCTTAGTTCATTCATCTGTTTCTTTGTCTCTGCCTTTTGAGATGAGTGAGCAGGACAGAATACAGGAAGGCTTAGAGCCCAAGGCCCAAAACTCATAGAAGGATCTGTTTTGAAACTGCTAGTCTCTGTTGACTTCTTTTATTTTTTTAAATTTTTTTATTATTTTTTTTTTACCATGGCGTTTTTGTTTGTCATTTTATTTATTTTTAATTGAAGGATAATTACAGTATTGGTTTCTGCCATACATCAACATAGATCAGCCATAGGTACACATATGTCCCCTCCCTCCCACCTCCCACCCCAGCCCATATTTTTATTTATTTTATTTTATTTTATTTATCTTATTTTTATTTATTTATTTATTTATTAGGCCATGCCTTGAGGCATGTAGGGTTTCCCTGGTGGCACAGACTAAAGAAGCTGCCTGCAATGCAGGAGACCCTGGTTCAATCCCTGGGTTGCAAAGATCCCCTGAAGAAGGGAATGGCAACCCACTCCAGTATTCTTGCCTGGAGAAAAACCATGGACACAGAAAAAGAGACTCAGATGTATAGAACAGACTTGTGGACTCTGGGAGAAGGCGAGGGTGGGATGTTTCAAGAGAACAGCATTGAAACATGTATATTATCTAGGGTGAAACAGATAACCAGCCCAGGTTGGGTACGTGAGACAAGTGCTCGGGCCTGGTGCACTGGGAAGACCCAAAGGGATCGGGTGGAAAGGGAGGTGGGAGGGGGGACTGGGATGGGGAATACATGTAAATCCATGGCTAATTCATTTCAATGTATAACAAAAACTACTGTAATGATGTAAAGTAATTAGCCTCCAACTAATAAAAATAAATGGAAAAAAAAAAAAGAAAAACCATGGACAGAGGAACCTGGCAGGCTGTAGTCCTTGGGGTTGCAAAGAGGCGAACACAACTGAGCGTCTTACACACACACACACACACACAAGGCATGTGGGATCTTAGGACCCCAACAAGGGATCAGACCCGTGCCCCTGTTTTGGGAGTGTGGAGTCTCAACCACTGACCTCCAAGGAAGTCCCTGTTGACTTCTAATATACTGCTTGCCTATGCCAAGCAGAAATATGAATAATCACTGAATTTAAATGCCTGTTAGACTTTGTTTTCAACAACTTTTAAACAGAATCCTTTAAAAAATGCCTCCATATAAAATAAGGAGGAAATGTTTTAGAATTGATAAGGTTAGAATTTGTTAACAGGTTGAATTCCAGAAATGCTGTATCAAATGGTAGGTGATGTCTGTAATCTAAATAACAGTTTAGGACTTAAGTTTTCTGTTTTGTGGAGGTTTTTTATTTTTCCTCTACCTGATTTCATTTAGCTTCTGTATCAGTATTGTTCTTCACATTTAAATACATGCCCAACAGTGCAATTTCTGTAAGCAGAAAGTGTGTTACTGTCTACCTTGATATGTATGAGTCCTTGGAGAATTTAGGTGACCCCATATGACCCTTTCTCCTTCACAGAGTTCTCTTCCCATTTCATCCAGATCAATATATAAAACCTATTCTGTAAGCCTCATTCCCAGGAGCAGGTTGAGACTTATTTAGTTGCAAGTTTGAAGGTACTAAGTCAAGATATAGATATCCAAAAAGAATGCTTAGCCCATCAGGGCCTTCTGAGGACTGAATAGGCTAACATTTAGGATGAATGCTGGTCTCATGTATCTTCTGTTTTTACATGTTTGTTTGTAGAAAGCTACCCTAGTTGAACATGGGATCCGACGCCTTACTTTCCTGGTTGCACAAAAGGTATTGCCATGTGAATTATGTATCTGTGTCATATTTCTTATGCTGCTGCTAGAACTTTAAAAGTGAAAAATGGAATTATAATCATACACTTACTTGTAGAATTTATGTAAAGGAATAACTGTTTCCATATAAATTTAATCAAGAAAAGCATTAGTTTGTCATCTCCTTTATTCAGTTCTTTTAAAATTTTATTTCTAATTGCCTTCTGTTTTTTTTCCCTTCCATTCTGTCTTTCATTTGAAAGGATTTCAGGAAACAGGTCAACTATGAAGTGGATCAGAGATTTCATGTAAGTAAGAGAAAAACCATGATGAAAGATCACTTACTGTTTTGTCTGTTGGCTGCTGGTTATTTTTAGAAGGGCTGGTCTGATATTTGGTCCCTCTGCTTTGAAAAAAGCATAAGAATGGATATTCAGGTCTTCTACAGAGTATTCATACTAAAGGGTTCCCCCCACTTATTTTCCCCGTATAATGAATTCTCAGTGTATCTCTGAGAAATAGTTAAGAGTGAGCACATGCATTTATCCAAGTGAATAAGGTAGAAGCAGGCTCTAACTAGTAATTTCTTCTGTGCACACAGTGAATCAGTAATCAAAGACTGCCACCCGTACTTGAGGTCTTGACTTCTACCAAAGATGGATTCAGATTCTATTATTGAGATCTGCCAATTCTGAAGAACAATCATTTATTATTTAAAATGCCTTAACAGAGCCCAAGTTAGTGTTTTTGTCTTATGTTAATTCTACGAGGAGGAAATAAATAAAAATTAAGTTGCTGGTTCTCCCATGTAACCAAATTAACTATTAATATTTATGAGTTTAAAATTTTTATTGAAAAATGTGAATAAAGAGAACTCACTAAATAGCTCGGTATCTGAACCATGGTGTATTTATGTATGAGCATACTGAGTATCATTATAGCAGAGAGGTCAAAAATCCAGTTTGCAGTCAAGATGTCATTTTCTCCAAGGGCTGAATGTAGTTAAAATATTTCTTTAAAAATTGCTCCTGATATGGTGAAGTAGAATTCCAAAGGATATTTACAAAGTCTTAATGTTTCTGATGAGAATTATATTTTGTTTTTAGCAGTCAAGATAGTTTAGTTTTCAAGCCCTGCTGACTTGCAGTGATGAAGGTAACTTTGGGATGCTGGAAAGGACTTCCTAAACTCAGAGCCCTGTGTGTGGGCGGCTTTCAGTGCCCCTTTGTTGTTAAGTCTCTAACACTTGACATTCTGTGTTCCTTTTCACAGTTCACCTTGTTGGTCTAGTCTATAGAGAAACAAGAGAGCCTCGCCTGCAGGCTAAAGAGCTCGGATTTTCTGAAACGCTTTAGGAAATGTTGTGGACTCCACAATTCCCCTGTGTTATTGATGTCAGGAAATCAAGCAGAGTGCAGATATATATCAATCAATAACTGTAGATAGAAGACAGGCGGCAGTGGAGAAGTATGAGGAGCTTAAAGAGAACCCTGGGGCTTTGGGAAGAAAAATCAGGAGCTTAGAGAATAAAATTGATACTTGGGAATAGAGTATGAGAATCTGTGAATAAATACTGTGGCTGGTAGATGCTGATCAGAACTCAGGCAGACATGCCAGAGCCAGGCCCTGGATTTAGAAAAAGTATCGGGCTAGGTTCTTAAGCGCTAATCTGATTTGTTCTTTCATCACTGACTTTGGAATATATATTATTCTGAGGAGTAATACTGAATTTGTAAAATTGTTTTCCTTTTTCCTTAGAGTCTTCATGTCTATTGCACACTAACTGGTTTTCTATAATCAGCATTCTATGATAAAACCCTCCACTGAAATTTTTTTTAAAGGCCAAAGCAATGAATTGTCACGGACATTTTTTTGGACACTTTCTTACCATTGAATCTACATCCTGTCCTAGAATACATCTAACAGCTTTAAAACATTTATTTTCCCCCCTGCTCTCTTAATATTTATGGATTTCAGTTGAATAGAGACATGTATAAGCAAGATCTGCTTGGAAATGAGCCCAGCAGGTGGTCTTCCCGATCATTCATTGTCCAGTTTCCATTTATAGTGGCATGAAGTGGGAAATCAGTTAAATTATCAAGTGACTTGATCTGTCATAAGTGTAGGAAACATTGCTTTAGGAGGCAGAGAACATGAAGTTTCATGTATGGACTGGATCTGCCCTGAAGAATTGTGTGGCAGAGAAGTTGGTGTGTTTTTATGTTAGGCCCCTGAGACATGATTAGCAATTACTCAGGGGGCAAGGGTGACTATTACTGAACTCTGGCCAGGATCTGCCATAGCCAGAAAGCCCTGGCGGGAGTTGTACAAATCTGGGGCTCACCGTCATGGTGCTGCTCCGAGTTCCTCCGCTGGTGGTGGCTTGAAGGACGTTTGGCCTCTGTCATGTCGTCCGATGTGCACTTGCCCTCTAGTTAGTGTAGTGTGAAAAAGAGGAAGCTTTCCGGGAGCATTAGTGATGAATCCCTTGATCTCTCTGGCTTCCTGGTAATCCACTGTTATGTATGCAGCCTCCCCTGCTCTACACTGTGAAATCCCTATATTATTGAGTAGAAGAGGAGACACATGCGGGAGGGGGCAAGGAGAGGAGGAAGGTTACCACGATTGGTTCAAGAACAACACTGGCTGGCGTGGAAGGAGGCAGCCATGCTGTTCCATAGCCGTCGTCTCTTGGGCTGCTTCAGAATCAGAACACTGCTGGGTGGAGGGTTCCTAGAGAGTGTGTCTGCTGCTAAGTCGCTTCAGTCTTGTCCGACTCTGTACGACCCCATAGATGGCAGCCCACCAGGCTCCCCCGTCCCTGGGATTTTCCAGGCAAGAATACTGGAGTGGGTTGCCATTTCCTTCTCCAATGCATAAAAGTGAAAGTGAAGTCACTTAGTCGTGTCTGACTCCTAGTGACCCCATGGACTGCAGCCCACCAGGCTCCTCCGTCCCTGGGATTCTCCAGGCAAGAGTACTGGAGTGGGTTGCCATTTCCTTCTCCCAGAGAATATGGATACTAGGTATTTATTCACACGGCAACAAAGCCCAGAATTATTTCCAATATTATTTCATCAACACAGTCCCCGGAGATCTGCCCGCCAGAATGTCTGCTGAGTGTCTTGGCTCTACGTGGAGACCATTTTTCTGAGCAGGCAGCAGCCACCCACATTGAGGAGTCCTGGCGTTTGAGTCTGTTTCCATAGCCATCTAATTAAAGCCAACACCCATAATGGGGCTTTGAACATCGATGCTTAATATTGATACTTGGATAGGAAGTTTGAGGAAAAGCAAGTCCATCCTTGTAAATATCTTCTTCATATTAAAAAAAAAAATTGAGGCCTTGAAAGCAAAAGAAGACTCTCTGAATTTCTATATTAAGTTGCTTTTCTCCAGTTTTATGGAGTATTAAGTCTCTGTTCGTTTCAGGCACATTCAGATCTAGAATTCCAAAAAGTGTGGCAGAAGATGCTGTTTAACTGGAACATAAGTAGTATACTTTAAGAAGCTTTGCATATTTTTTTTTTCCAGTGAAGTTTTGTTCAGGATGCTAAAATGTGTGTTTCTCAGATCTTTTCCTATACTTGGCTGCCCAAACAGAGCATTAGGTCCAGAAACCATGATGAGATTCTAAATCAGATTTCCACCTGTAGTTTCTTTTTGTTTCTTGTTTGTAAGATTTCATGAGATTTTTTTAAAATTCTGCTGTAAATCACCTAGGAGATAATTGCAGTCTTACTGATTTTTATGTGAGTGACTCCCACTTTAAATGTTTTGGATTGTTTTCGCCTGAAGGAAGAGCTCACTATCGAAAACAGTTATCATGGTTAGTAGTTCATTTCTTTTAAAAAAAATTGATATGTCAATGATATCTCAATAAAGCTAGAAAAAAATTGGCAGTTCTGTTTGCTAGTGGATCAACTGTTAGTTTTTCAGAAGGTTTGGTTTGAGTTTTTGTTTTAATTACAGTCTATATAATTAGTTCTCAGCATGTTGAGGTAAAAGAGAATTGCACCAGCAAGCTTCCAATTTCTTCATCTCATTAGGTTTTTAACACGATTATTAGTATCATAATCAGCTATGATGTTTTCTGTTGCAGGTTTTCACATTCTCTGATTTGCAGGGTGTCTTGATTGGCTAATTTAGGCAAATTATTTTGATTGTCTTGATGATGGTTGGCTGATTAGAACACAGCAGGGGTATAATTTCTTCCTGAGAAATGTTGCATTCTTTTGTTTTTTGGTACCAGAACACTAAGAGGGTTTTTCTTTGTGTACATTCAATTATGATATTTGCCCGTAACACTAGTAGAATGCCTAGAAAGCAATTACATTAGTGACGGAGTAAGCTTGAATGCCGTTAGTGGAAAAATTGGCTGTATGAGGATGTGGTAGGATGAAGGAATTTACTAAAACTATAATCAGACTTTGGGATTTCTTCTTTTCTGTGTTTTCTGTGATTTTTGAGTGGGGGGAAAAAAGGCAATTTTGTACAGAAGTTTTTCCCTGTCTTAGAGAATTGCTCATTAATCCTGGTTTGCCATTGCATGGAAGTTCGTGCCATCTCCTATTCAGAATGCTTTGTGCTTAGTGAGGACTTCACTGTGGAACGAAAAATTTATTCAAAAGTTTAAAACCGATTGTTCGCGTCATCTTATCTTTTGTGTAGGTGGTATACTAAGTAACTGTTTTAGGGAACTAATTAATTAAAGTTAAGGAGAAATTGAAGAGTGTGTGATTAAAAGATTGTATCATTACTTTCCTTGACTTTTCTTTCAGAAAAATCTCATGGAAGGACTTTGTTACCCTTCTTTTTTGACTCATGTTACTTTTTAGCTAATGCTCTGAAAGCCATCCCTCTTGAGAATAAAACCAAAACTAGACTGTATAAAGCCCCAAGCATGAAATCTACTGACAATTCAGCTCAACATCTTCCTGCTTAACCTTGAAGTCATCCCCATGCTCTTCACTGTCGTTCAGGGGAATTAGAGAATTATTTAGGACAAAACATCATCAGTAAAAGATCAGTGCTGTGTAAAATCCACTTTCAAAGGTTTTTTGAAGACCCACACCTGGACAAGTGGTTTGCTGGCCTTGCTAAACAAGCTCCTAGAAGCTGTTTTTTAGTTAAAATGCCAAGGAAAATGTAAAAAGATTTATTAACTGAGCAAGTTATAGTTGAAGTGTAAGACCTGTGGGAAGTATCCAAGAAGTTTTCCATAAATTTAAGAACCATGAATTTTGCTTTTTTTTATTTTTTATTTTTTTTTGCTTTTTTTCCTTAAAGCCTTAATTTCTGGGGTTTTTGGTTTTTGTCTCAAAAACAAACGTGGTTCTTGAAAGAGAAGTCCTCTAAATAAGGAATTTGGATTAAAAAGAAGAATAGATAGGTAACATCCTATACTTGCTAGGTAGAGATGAAATGGCATGAGCTCTAGTGTTAGACCCAAGTTCACCTTACAGGGTCATAATAATTGGAATTGACATATATACACCAACGATACTATGTATAAAACGGATGACTAATGAGAACCTACTCTATAGCACAGGGCACTCTCCTCAGTGCTCTGTGGTGAACTAAATGGGAAGGAGTTCCTAAGAGGAGGGGATGTATGTATATGTACAAGGGATTCACTTTGCCATACAGTAGAGACTAACACAATATTGCATAGCAACTCTACAGCAAGAAAAACTTATTTAAAAAAGAAAAACAAAAAACAGTACTCTTCCAGAGAGGTTGTTGAGAGCATTCGACGGTCAGCACGTGAGAGCGCCTGCCACCTGCAAGGCTTTCGGCTCATGTTTCCTTCATGGTTCCTGAAGTTCATAGAGGGGAATTTAGGCAGCTAGTCCCGGTCTCTCTGCCTTGTACCGATAAGGGTTTGATTACATTGCACTCATAATGAAGAAGATGCCTTAATGAAACCTCCTATGGTGGCAAACAGTAATGACTCGATTCCAACACTTGCCAGTGGAGCTTCCCATCCGAGAAGCAGGGGTATTTGGTGTTAATAAGTTAAATTTCAGAAACTAATGGACTCTGCTAATTGAATTCATCTTTGTTAATTAATAAGGTTCTAGTAAATTGGTTGCTTTCTTGGGTAATGCCCTGCAAAAGAGCAGTAAGACCTAATGATTGCATGTTCACTAGTTCCACCCTATTCTTTCCTAGACATAGAGGGCTACTGACCAAAGTAACATCTCACACTTTTCTTTGTCTTGAAATGTTATTGTTTAAACCTTTGAAATTATTGACTTGAGAGTGAATGAGGGGGAAAAAAAGCGTGGATTGGGGATGCTATGTTCTCTGGTGAGTTTACACTTTAAGAGTTTCTTAAGGAGAAACTTGGGAAATCAGTCCAGTAACTACGATTGCAGTGCTGCAGTATAAGGATGCGTTGGTCTTATGTACCAGTTTCTGCCATGGGCAACAGCCAAGAAGACGTTTTCCACTTGGGAGATGAAAAAATTACCATTTTTCACCCTAGAAGAGGGTAGCTATTAGTTGGGTTAGTATTGTGGTGGTTCTCAAATTTGTAAGTGGGGTCAAAGTGACGGATAACTGGGGTTTTTGGTTTTTGTCTCAAAAACAAACGTGGTTCTTGAAAGAGAAGTCCTCTAAATAAGGAATTTGGATTAAAAAGAAGAATAGATAGGTAACATCCTATACTTGCTAGGTAGAGATGAAATGGCATGAGCTCTAGTGTTAGACCCAAGTTCACCTTACAGGGTCATAATAATTGGGATTGACATATATACACCAACGATACTATGTATAAAACGGATGACTAATGAGAACCTACTCTATAGCACAGGGCACTCTCCTCAGTGCTCTGTGGTGAACTAAATGGGAAGGAGTTCCTAAGAGGAGGGGATGTATGTATATGTACAAGGGATTCACTTTGCCATACAGTAGAGACTAACACAATATTGCATAGCAACTCTACAGCAAGACAAACTTACTTAAAAAAGAAAAACAAAAAACAGTACTCTTCCAGAGAGGTTGTTGAGAGCATTCGACGGTCAGCACGTGAGAGCGCCTGCCACCTGCAAGGCTTTCGGCTCATGTTTCCTTCATGGTTCCTGAAGTTCATAGAGGGGAATTTAGGCAGCTAGTCCCAGTCTCTCTGCCTTGTACCGATAAGGGTTTGATTACATTGCACTCATAATGAAGAAGATGCCTTAATGAAACCTCCTATGGTGGCAAACAGTAATGACTTGATTCCAACACTTGCCAGTGGAGCTTCCCATCCGAGAAGCAGGGGTATTTGGTGTTAATAAGTTAAATTTCAGAAACTAATGGACTCTGCTAATTGAATTCATCTTTGTTAATTAATAAGGTTCTAGTAAATTGGTTGCTTTCTTGGGTAATGCCCTGCAAAAGAGCAGTAAGACCTAATGATTGCATGTTCACTAGTTCCACCCTATTCTTTCCTAGACATAGAGGGCTACTGACCAAAGTAACATCTCACACTTTTCTTTGTCTTGAAATGTTATTGTTTAAACCTTTGAAATTATTGACTTGAGAGTGAATGAGGGGGAAAAAAAGAGTGGATTGGGGATGCTATGTTCTCTGGTGAGTTTACACTTTAAGAGTTTCTTAAGGAGAAACTTGGGAAATCAACCCAGTAACTGCGATTGCAGTGCTGCAGTATAAGGATGCGTTGGTCTTATGTACCAGTTTCTGCCATGGGCAACAGCCAAGAAGACGTTTTCCACTTGGGAGGTGAAAAAATTACCATTTTTCACCCTAGAAGAGGGTAGCTATTAGTTGGGTTAGTATTGTGGTGGTTCTCAAATTTGTAAGTGGGGTCAAAGTGACGGATATCCAGAGGATCATTCGTTTTCTCCAGATTAAGTTTAGGTAAGGATCGTGTTTTCTAGGCAACTGTCTTCTAGATGCTTGACTGTTTCTCTACCATGTGTTTATCCCCAAAGAGTCGTATCTATGAAAGACTGACACATTTTCCCTCCTTCTTTAACACAGAGAGAATTTCCTAAATTTTTCACATTCCGAGCAAGGGATAAGGTAAGGACTGATTTTTTTTTTTTAAATCTTTGTTTTTTCCTTAAAAGCCCAAGAATAATGTATCTGTGCCATATGTTCTTACCATTCTTCTTTCTCTAACTGAACTTATACTTCCCTTTGTCTTACATATGTCTCTGAACTAAACAAGGTTCCCTTCCAAAAGAGTTTGGTTCAGGAAACACTGTAATGTCCTGACCTACCAAAGACAGAGATAACTTTCAAAATCATCCATTGGGATAATCCTAATGATATAATATGAAAGGACTACTATAGTTAATTGGATTATTCTCATCACCCATGGACAGTTCATTTATCAAGGCTTGTTTATGTGCATTTTTCAATTTTAAAATACAGAATTTCGAACGACATTGGTTTCCTCTTATTACCAGCTTATGTGTTTGGCTTTCTCTCTCCATTTACTCTATGAACATGTACTCTAAACATGTCTGGCTTCAGCAAAACATACAGTAAATGTAAATACAACTTGAAAAAGAGAAATATGAATAATTATGCACGGATACAGGCTATTCCATAGCCAAATACCTATTTTTCAATATTATATGACGTTTGTTTTCCTGTGTCCTTTCTCACTCTGCCAGAAATGGTAGGAATATGAGACATGGATCCTGCTCATATGTGTTTCAGATGAGTTGGATAAAACTAAAACACTGTATGTGAAATAGTAATGTGAAGTAGTTTGGTTAATTGTTAAAAAAAAATGAACTATGAAGGCTTTAAATGCTAGAGGAGTTCTGAGGGAATAGATGGGGTTTGTTTGTTTGTTTTTAATGGAGAGCATCACCAGTTGTAAAAGTATAGATGATGAAAGCTTACAAAGTAAGCAGGGACTCTAGTGCCTAATCTTACATCAGTTGTTGCAGTTTCCTTGTATGTAGCTCCTCTTTTTTCCCGTTTGGTTCATTGGCACAACGATGTGGCTTATGTTTCTTTTTTAAGCATCTCTTTTATATACAATTCCATAATGTAATTCTGTAACTGCCTCTTGTAAGCTCTTCTTTCCTCCAATTCTTGTATTTAGTTTGAGGAAGATCGTATCTATCGTCACCTGGAGCCTGCCCTAGCTTTCCAGTTAGAGCTGAACCGGATGAGAAATTTTGACCTTACTGCCATCCCATGTGCCAATCACAAGATGCACTTGTATCTCGGGGCAGCCAAGGTGGAAGTGGGTACAGAAGTGACAGACTACAGGTTCTTTGTTCGTGCAATCATCAGGCATTCTGATCTGGTCACCAAGGTGGGTGCTGTACTTTCTTCTCTTTTTATCTTGGGTGGGGGCGCTGTGCCATTCGGCTTGCAGTGTGTTAGTTCCCTGACCAGGGATCAAACCTGTGCCCACTGCAGTGGAAGCACAGAGTCCTAACCACTGGGCCACCAGAGAAGACCACGGGTGCTGTACTTTAATAGAAAGTTATCTCTGAGGGAAAGGACAGAGACACAGCCATGATTCAAAATCAGGTTTTCCTCTTGAATCAAGATTCTTGTTCTCTTTTATCCTATTGTCCAATAATCACCAGAAGTCTAAGAGTCAGTTCTCTCACAGAGGTAAATATTCCATGGAATAAAGGGCTTTTTTTCCCCTTTCATTTGATTTTTCTTGGCGGTGGAAGTATGATAATATTTACTTGAGAAAAGGAAAAGCATGCGAACAGAAAAACCACAGGGAAGTGTGGGTGATGATAGAGGATAAAATGAAAAGTTAAGAGATGACTCCATGGTAAACCTGTCTAAAAGTGGGGGTGGTTTCTGTACATAGCTGATATGTGACTTGTTCCTGCATCCCATAGCCATAACCTTTCTGCAACTTTTCCTCTCTAAACAGATTTCCTTTCTACGCTGCTCTGTCTGGCAGTTGTGACCCTACTAGGGTTGCAGCTCTGGGGGTGCCCAGGATCTCCACTTGTTGTAAGAAAATGGTACCGAACAGGCAGGAGGAAGGGTTGGTGGGAACTCTTTATCTGACCCTTGCTAGCCCCTGCTGCCTGTGGTCTTTGGGTTGACCCCAGGAAGAAAGATAAATAACATCTACATAACAGCCTTATGACTTGTCGGGTTGGCCAAAACCCAAACAAACTTTTTGGCCAAGCCTATAAAACACATTAATGTTGATGGTGGTTTTCTTTCCTGCATAGGAAGCTTCCTTTGAATATCTACAAAATGAAGGGGAACGGCTCCTCCTGGAAGCCATGGATGAGTTGGAAGTCGCCTTTAACAATACAAATGTCCGAACTGACTGCAACCACATCTTCCTCAACTTTGTTCCTACAGTCATCATGGACCCATCAAAGGTACATTTCTCTGTTGCTTCACACCCAGCACCCGCCAGCACAGCAGACAGAGTCATTCTTATTTGTTTGCACTTGGACCTGGAAACAGGTACTTTCTTGGTCAGCTGACTGAACCCTTGCTCTTTGAAGTTTACAGAATGCTTATACGACTGGGTTTCTGGGATGATATCAAAAATTTGATGTAACCATTGAAATCATACCTCAAAACTGAAGGTGTCTCTTTGTTCTGCTATGAAGCTTTACTTCTCTACTACCTGCCTTTGAGTTTCTGCTGAAAAGCATGTGATGGTGTCTGACTCCCTTGCTGTAGTGATCTCTGAGTAAATAACCTTTAAAACACAGTGATTTAAAATTTTTAAAAGCAATCATAATTTACCATGAGACTTAGCTGTGAGTAGAAATTTCATAATCATACATTTTAATTTATGTTTTTAATTTATAATTATGTTTAATTTACATTAATACATACATTTCAATGTAATCATTAAATATTAACTCATAGTTTTGTTTGCTTTCATGGATATAGTTTAAAAGTGTTTCTAGTCCATTGTATTGCAGGATATATAAGCCACTAAAAATCTTGTGATATAATTTGTATATAATTAAATACATCCATTTAAGTATAAGGTTTAAAACACTGAAGGTGGTTTGATGTTATCTTGATGGTCACTTGTAAGCAGTACAAAAATATAAAACTTCTACCTCTTCTTCCGTTGGCAACTGGATATTTTATGATATTTACCACGATAGCAGTCCTATTTTGTTTAATTCCCAAACATTTCTCATCTGGTATAACTAACTTTGCTATCATTGGGCACTTTGGCAAAATTACTGCCTCTTTTTACTGGTCGTCTGATGGCCTTTGAGCAGTGACACACCTTCCCAAAGTGTCTAACCTATTTCTCTGTAGTATTTCCCACAGAGGAAGATTTGGTTGATATGGAATTCCACACATAACAATGTATGGTTTCTTCCCCGAGGCTCTATTCTAAAATGCATTCCATATAATTTAAGGAAGGGGAAAGCAAGGTGACTCTCTACTTGACCTTTTATCCCAGGTGTAATAAAGATGCTTGCTCTCTTGTTTCCACTCCCTCTAACCTTTTTATGATATTGTGGAATTTGAATAGGAGAACCAGTATATTTGAATAGGAGACCTCTTTCTCAAGAGCCATTGTAGGCATGGACTTTTGCTTTTTGAACTTAATGTTCAAAAGACCCGAGAAATCATTTTCTACTATTTTTTTTCTTCTAAACTCAAATACTGATTAGTTGCCTTGTCTGCCAGGAAAGCCAAGGTCAGGGCTACTTACTGAGTTTCGTCAAGTTTCATCATTCGGTTTAAGCAAAGGTTTTTTTGAGCGTGCTGGGATTGATGAAACTAGGAGAATTAAAATGTGCCCTGGACACTCTATCACTATGTATATTTGTAGATATGACTTAGCATTCCTCGATGAGTTTTTGCTATCAACGTCTCTGTTTCTACTCCAAATGCTCATACGCCCTGACTCTGTCTTTCTAATCATAGATAGCTGTCAATTTCCTGTATTTAGAAATTGTTGACTTTTGTTCCCTCAAAAAAAGAATGGATAGATATCTCTTGGTTAACAAGACAAGTGTGGGAATAGAGATGTTAACTCCTTGAAACTCATTTTAACCTGAAATTCTTTGGAACAGAAATACAGTACAAGAGTGGCACATACTTCCAAAGAGCCACAAATGAAGGATGGAATGAGATTTTTTTAAAAAATTCTCTAAGACGTTGAGAAAGCATTTTAGAGAGATAACTTCATTTAAGAAAACATTATTTTTGAGTAGTATGTCTTAGCTGCCTGTAACCATATTGGGAATAGAAAAATTCTTTTTTGCTTTAGTATGTCAGTAAGGAAAAATCACATCTAAGGCCACTTGGTTAAAATAACTCACCAAATCCTAAAAATGAGGGCCACTAAGCTGCCTTGGTATAAAGGTTAGAAAAATGAGGGAACATTTGCCCCATCTCTTTAAATCCTAGTTGGACTTAGCAGTGACCTAGCTTCAGGGTGCTGTTTAGAGAGAACATTCTAGCACCACCTACAAATTGCCTTTTTTTAATTTGTGCAATTTACCAAGAAACATATATTATAAAGTTTAATAAAATTGTATGGAAAAAAGCTCATGGTGGTAATTGCTATGTTGATTTAAGGTCCTGAAAGTGCAATGAAACATAGTTACCATGCATATAAATGCTACTTAATAGCTGTTTAACTAGAGATTTTATTCTTATTTGGGGCCTTCTCTTAAATCCCATGGCTTCTAATTTTAGATATTGCAGATCTTTGGCATAGAATATGAATACAATTGGGAAAGAGGAAGGGAGTTGCACAAATTTGGGTGTTGTGAGCCAGAGAAAACCACTCAAATGCCAGGCCAGTGTGAAACTGTCCCTGATGTGTTCTAAGTAAGAGTAGGGTTGGGGAGAAACTGTCTTTTTGGAAGGAATACATGGACACATCTCCAGGAACCAGAATCTGTTCCCTTTCCTCCCTTCCCAGAGATGGGCAGACCTGAATCAGATCTTAGATACAAGGTGCTTAAGTTTTGTGCTTGGTGATGTGTCTGTGTCAGATTGAGGAGTCCGTGCGGAGCATGGTGATGCGCTATGGAAGTCGGCTGTGGAAACTGCGTGTCCTCCAGGCAGAACTGAAAATCAACATTCGCCTGACACCAACTGGAAAAGCAATTCCCATCCGCCTCTTCCTGACGAACGAGTCTGGCTATTACTTGGACATCAGCCTGTACAAGGAAGTGACTGATTCCAGGACAGCACAGGTACAGTAGTTAAGCAGGCTCCTCAAAATTTTCACTTGGTTCCCCCAGAGAGAAGCCACTTTTCCTTGTTACAGAAAGACCAGAATTCACAGATCCCATTGTTCCACCTAGCGGGGGTTATCCTCACTCAGCTTAAATGGTTGCATGAACTTGAAACACTTCATTTGCCTCATAAGCAGCACCTCTGTCGTAATCCTGAATGTTTTGAAACCCTTAACCTTTGGTCATGAATTGGGGAGCCCTAACAGGTGCCAAGGGAACCTGACTCTAGAGTAATTGTACAATTTAGGGTTCTTGGGCTACTTGTCTTTTCTGATCTGATTTGTCCTTGTTCCTGTTTTCAGCCTAGTTAGACCACTCATTGGCAAGGAAAGGAAGGAGAATTGTTGAAGTATGAAATATCTCAAAGAAAGAAATTTCAACGTAATATAATAATATCTTGAGCAAGATCAAGCAGACATTTTATCTTATTTACCCTTTGTTCTACTTACACACACTATCTTGCCTTCCAAGAGTTCAGAGTATCATATCTATAAAAAAGCAAAGTGGCAGACTTTAACCTATTTTTTCAGGTAGAAGAATTGAGAAAGTGAAAATGAAAAGTGACTTTCAAAGTAGATTGGTTCTATGATAACAGAAAATTCCCTTTTAATCTGTTTGATCACCTTAGTTTCTAACTCTTTGGGCCATTTACTGTGGTACAGGATTTAGCTTCATTCACCACTATTTACGTCTTTTTAAGAACTGGGATGTTAATTTTAGGTCTCTGGCCCGAACGTGGCAAGTGCCTTTCTTCCTGTTAAAGGATGAACTTGCTCCTTTGTACGTGTACACAAGATCTCGGTCTATTCTCTGTGTTGGGTGATGAAGAGATTATGTGTCTCTTGTTTTTATCTACGTCCTTTTAAGTCTGGGAACAGCAGTAAGAAGAGACTTTTTTGCCAGGATTTTGAAGACAAATTTTAAAACTCTGGGTTTGGACAGTTGTCTGAGCGACCTTTCATTTCGTGCTTTGATTCCCACGTAGATGGCCAGAGAAATCTATCCTGTGAGAAGTGAACAGTTAACACAGAAAGTGCGCACAAGAGTGCAAGGGGTGAGCAAGAGAAAGAGTATTCAATAATTTTCGCGGCATTTGATGTTTTTCAGGACAACCTTAAAGACATTTTCAGTCAAAGCTTTCCATGGGCAGTGATGTTTTTAATTAACTTCTACAATGGCTTCAAGGCAGTTCTATTCTTGTGAAAAATAAGATGGCCACTTGAGATTTTAATGTGTTTGATAAATATGTTTGTTCTCCATAACTACTCCCCCTCTCCTTTCTTTTATTAGAAAGCTCTGCGATTTTCCTCATGCTGGCTAGTGGTGACACAGGGACATGAGAGGCACAAATGCCTTTATTCAGGGTTTAGTAGAAGGAAATGGCAACCCATTGCAGTATTCTTGCCTGGAAAATCCCATGGACAGAGGAGTCTCACAGGCCATGGGACCCTCACAAAGAGTCGGGCACGACTAAGTGACTTACGTTTGGCACAACAAGTATTTGAAAAAATAAATGAGCTGCCTTTTGCCTGAGGGAGCTCCCTTTCTTACCGTGGGTCCTATGTATCTAGGAAGCCCTGAAGGAAGGGGTGTCCCTCAGATTGCAGTGGCCACTGCCAAGTGTGAATGCAGGAGCGCACAGCTGGAGGGGGGAGCTAACAAGAGAAGGAGCTTCCCAATCGGTTCTGGCACTCCAGAAGCCTCCTTGATGCCTACCAGCAATTATAGTTTTTTCCTTTCTGTGCTCTAGTGAGTCTAACAACATAGGACTGTGCGTATCATTCAGTCATTTGTTCGTTAATTTAACATTTATTGACCACTTACGATGTATCAAGCAGTAGGGATACAAAAGTAAAAAGTGATATTTCTTCTCAAGAAGTTTACCCATGATGGAAGAAGACAAATAATTTGTTTCTCTGTTGTATGATTTGATTTGTGCCATCAAAAAATAAGTCCATGGTTCTAAGGGAGCAGACTGTATGGGATCAGAGATTTTTTTTCCAGGAGAAGCCCTTTTGATGGCCTCTGGTAAAAGGTGTATGATAAATAAAATACGTACATATGTTCATGAATTTGTAAAGTATATACTTTATCAATTTTTAATGACTATGGCCATGATAGCAGAAAATGGAATTAACATAGGTAACATAGATAACTATCTAATATAATACATCTAATATATTTAATATGTATCTGTTATAACAGTTATGTTATCATTCAGAGACTTTCAGGGCCATCCATTGTTATCAACCTCTTGTTCAAGAATAATTTTTCATTCTTTCTGTCAACAAAGAGCAAGGTTGACTGGCTTGAGTTTCATTTTATTTCACTTTCCTTGTATAGTCTTTGTGGTATTAGCTATCCTGAGCACTGATGTCAGGCAGAGTAGGGAGATTTGAGTAATCCATTACATAAGTCCATTGACTTCCAATGTTCAGTGTAAGAGAGAAATATACATTTCAAAATCATCTTTATTGAGATAAAACTTAGATGTAATAAAAGGCACTCATTTTATGTGTACAGTTTAATTCATCCTGAAATTGTACATACCTGTGATCACCATCACAGTCATGATAGAGACCACTTGACACCCTCAGAAATTCTCTTTATTCTCCTTTGCAGGCAAAGGTAAGGGCACCATCCTCAGCCCTAGGCACCCACCAGTCTGCTTTCTAATTTTATAGAATAATTTTTGCCTGTCCTGGAATACCTATAGATAAATGAAGTTAGACAATATGTATTGTTTTGTGTCTGGCTTCTTTGGTAAACGTAGTGTTTTTGAGAATCATCCGTGTTTTATGGATCATGGATGTGCTCCTTTTTATTGCTGAGTAGTGATATACCAAAATTTTTATATTCATTAACCTGTTGATGGGCATCTGAGGTTTTATTTTTCAGTTTGGGCTATTGTGAGTAAAGCTGCTGTGAATATTCATTTCCAAATATCTGTATAGATTTGTTTTCATTTGAGTAAATCTATGAGTACAATTATTGGGGCGTAGTAAGTTTAATTTAACCACGTTAAATTCCCACCAGCAGTGAGAGTACCCAGAGAGCTTTCTCCAGCCTGCTTTCTCAGCCCACACAGTTATGTTGCTTGAATGACCAGCCTGACTTTATCTCGCAAAACTGTCCCAGTTGGTCTTGTCTTTCCTAATAGACAGGACTGTATTGGATTGGCCAAAAAGTTTGTTTGGATTTTCCATAGTATCCTCTGTAAAAACCCAAGCAAACTTTTTGGCCAACTCAATAGTTTAAAGAACCTATTGCTTTTGCTCTTTTTCCCCCCCTTATTTTGACGTGGGTTATCTCCTCTAAGTCCAGTTTTTACGTACTTACACCCTAGCCTCACTTAACACTTTGAATCTCTTGAAACATTTCTATTTCTGCCTCCCACATTACTAAGACATTGCTAATTCTACCTCCCACCTGGGGACTTTCATCATTAGCTCTGTGGAAGAGGATTGGGAGCTCGATTCTGTGGGTCTTTAAGCAGTCCACAACAGATTTTGTCCAGAATAGGACCTGACTGACAAGTAAGTAGAACACGCTTGTTCCTCTTGATCTAAAGGGCTAACGATTTACTTACTTGAACTGTACCCAGGATTTAGGAGAATACCTCATTCTCTCCTGGTGCCTGTTTAGCAGGCCTGCAAATCTGTTCATTAATGGTAGACTTAAGCTTATATTATTTTAGGCCCGAAGAGATAGGTGGGTATACACACATACCCTCACTTCCCAGTCTCCATTTGTATTCACTGCACTGGGAATCTATGTTTTATGTATTCATGCATAAAGTGCCTAGCTTAGTGTCATACAACCTCTGGGCACTCAATAAATATTAATTGAATTGAAATAATGGCATCCCTTATAAATATTCATAAGCAAATAAAACTAAATATATGAAATATGAGGTACTCTTCTAGAAATATTTGAGTTAAAATGATTAAAAACTGGTGTGATTTTATTATGTGACAATATAGATATTGCAGGGTCTATTCACTAGTTGTAGACGCAGTATACTGGGGGAAATATATCTGTATGTGTATTATATTTAATAAAATGTATATACTTTTTACTAAAGGCTCTGTCTTATGAGCTCACAAGAACCAGCTAGCTAGGTGGATGGGTAAAATCTACTTGTGTCAAATCTTTGAAGCCTTTGTGTAGCTAATTGTACCTATGAAGTACCTTCTGAGCCTGTGGACTATAAAGTGTAGGTGACCCAGTAGAGCCTTGACCTGGCCTTCTATCTTTGAAGAAAGAGCAAAGTTCTCTTTGGTGCATAGCTGTTCCTCAACTTAAATACTAGGACTGCTTAGTTGGTTAGTTGACCTTCATTTCTGAATATGGGATTCAAGTCATTTTGACAGGCAAGTATTATCAGTCTGTCTCTGAAACATGAAATTTACTCTGGTGCTTTCTCATTGATTTCGACTAATTCAAAAGTGAGAGGAGGAGTGTGTGATTTGTGGTTGGTGTCATACTATTTTTTGGAGTTGGTTAATCTGCAGAGGTGAGAGTACCATGTACCCAATGTTAAGAGGTGTATCTTAGCTATTCAACTCACCAAAAATGTGTTTTAAGAAATAACATTTGTGAAAAAAAGTCACTTTAGGCAACTCATGTGATTTTTTTTTTCCCTCTTGTCTTTTAATTCCCCATGCCATCCTCTTTTTCTTGCAGATCATGTTTCAGGCATATGGAGACAAACAGGGACCATTACATGGAATGTTAATCAACACTCCGTACGTGACCAAAGACCTGCTTCAATCCAAGAGGTTCCAGGCACAGTCCTTAGGGACAACATACATATATGATATCCCAGAGATGTTTCGGCAGGTAAAGGTGGCTACCTGGGGGTGGGGGCTCTGACGTGTGCCAGAGAGGCAAGATTTTTCCTGAATTTTCATCAGATACAGCTCACACTGAAATAGGACACTTTCAAAAGGCAGTAAGTGTCTTGACCCTGTTCTCACTTCTCTCTCTTCTGGGGTTGTGACTGCTAGCTCAGATGGTAGATGGTTCTTTGTGATGCCCAGGAAGAATGGCAAGGATAGAGGCCTCTGCTGAGTAGGAAAGAGTAAATGGAGACTCCGCACCTCTGATAGTCGTGCATGATGACCTGTGTGAGGGGCTACATTCAGGTGTCTACTTCCAAAGCCTGCATTCAAGTCAAAGAGAGATATATGATATCCCAGAGATGTTTCGGCAGGTAAAGGTGGCTACCTGGGGGTGGGGGCTCTGACGTGTGCCAGAGAGGCAAGATTTTTCCTGAATTGTCGTCAGATACAGCTCACACTGAAATAGGACACTTTCAAAAGGCAGTAAGTGTCTTGACCTTGTTCTCACTTCTCTCTCTTCTGGGGTTGTGACTGCCAGCTCAGATGGTAGATGGTTCTTTGTGGATGCCCAGGAAGAATGGCAAGGATAGAGGCCTCTGCTGAGTAGGAAAGAGTAAATGGAGACTCCGCACCTCTGATAGTCTGTGTGAGGGGCTACACCCCTCTGTGTGAGGGGCTACATTCAGGTGTCTACTTCCAAAGCCTGTATTCAAGTCAAAGAGAGATTTGAAATGTTGGTTCTCATTTCCCAAGATAACCCAGGTCTCTAACTGATAGCCTAGGTTAATATGATGAGAATCAGTATATAACATATACAAATGGATATAGAGTTCATGGTACACAGTTTAAAGTATCAGTTCTTTTGTGGGAGATTTATTACAGTGGAATAAAAACTAGTGTGAGAAAATATGACATTATGAATCTCATCCTCCATATGAAAATAAATTCCTTTGATCTGTATGGTGAATCATGTCTAGGCTGCAGATTTTTCTTCCATCAATAGAAGGCAAGAAAAGTATATCACCAGCAGAAAATGCAACAGATAAAGAAGAAGGTATCAAAAGAATACTGAATTTGTTCTTAAAAAAAAAAAAATCTATGAATATAGAATTTTCCCAAGTCTCCTAGTCAAAAATACCAGCGTTACCACATTTGAATTTTAATAAAGTAATATATGTGGTCTTAGTAAATAGTCTATTTGTAATTCCTGTATTATTCAGAAATACGAGAGATTTCCATTATGTAGCCATTTGTTTACAAGGTCTCTCTCTTGACACATAGCTGTCTTCATTCAGTATTACTAGTATTGTCAGCCTATAAGTTGAGTGTTGATTCTGTTCCCTAGTGCTGGCGCCATAAAAAGAAATCACTTTCTATATAATTTATCCTATAGAATAGACATAAGCACAGTGATTTGGACTTGTAGGTATGAATGAGTCATCTTGGTTTTAAATGTTGCTGTGAGTCAAGCAGAGAAACAACCAAACTAGTTCCCACTTGATGCCCCATTCATTTTGCTAATATGAAATTTGAAATGGACATCAGAATGGTTTAAAAATGATGTGTGTCTCTGTTTTCTCATATTTGAGCAGACTTGATCTGTACGTGTACAATCAATCAATCCACCTCTAGTGAGCTAATTCCCATGTATGGGCCTGTAGCTTTGGAAATATACTAGAGCAGGCATCCCCTGAACCTCTAGTAGAAACTCTATTCTTGTGTTCCTGGGTTTGCTTTGTATTAGCTGAGGTATCAGTCACTTTCCTGGTCATTCTTCTATGGCCAAGTTTCTCTAGGATTTTTCTTCCTTTTTTAAAGAGGTATTGTTGCTACTTTAGTTTTTTATTTTAATTTTCCCAGGACATTGTTAGGTCCATTGTGTTTGTTAATGGTCTCATACTAATTCATGATCCCTCAGTAGTTTAATGTTATTGGCAAAGCATCTGATTTGGGGCATGTAAAAAACATTATGTGAAAAATAATTACAAGTCTATTTTAACGGAGAATGGGAACTCTAGAATTTGGTCTAACATTTAGATGCTCAGTAGAATGCTTGGAAAAGAAAGAGCAAAACTAAATTGACCATGTTTTAGTATTTATTTTGTTCATGTTGAAATGCTGATTGTTACTGATTAGTCAAACTTTTCTCCTCCTTTAGTCCCTGATCAAGCTCTGGGAATCTATGTCCTCTCAAGCATTCCTTCCACCGCCCCCTCTGCCTTCAGACATACTGACTTACACTGAGCTTGTGTTGGATGATCAAGGTCAACTGGTTCACATGAACAGGCTTCCAGGAGGAAATGAGGCAAGTCCTGGAGATTCCCCTCCCCACTTTCTTATCTCTGTGCCCACTAGTATCAGCTTTCTATGGGGGATGGTCATTAAATAGTATTAAATAAGATCTGAGTGGCAGAGGCAGCATTGGTAGAAGTAGTCTAGTCTTATTTATAGAAGTCGTAGTCCTATTGGTAGAACTCTTTAGCCAGAGAACACAGACTGGACAGCAAGGATTATCCTTAATATTTTAGGTGTGATAATAAGATTACATTTTTTTGAACGGTATTACAATATTGCTTTATAAAAAAGAGTATTGTCTTCTGTTAGAGATACCTACTAAAGTAGTTACCGATAAAATGATCTAATGTCTAGGAGCTGCTTCAAAATTATGTTGGGATGGGAATGTGGAGTGCAGATGAAACAGGATTGGTCATGAGTTGTTAACTGAAGCTCGGTGGTAGATACACAGGAATAGATTAGTTTCTCAGTTTTTGTACACATTTGAAATTTTGGGATTTTTCTATGATAAAAGCCTTTAAATATTTCTTGATGTTTTTTCTTATTTGGATCCTTACTGGTGTATGGTTTTTAGTATGTTTTTCGTGCTCAGGTAATTTGATCTAGTGCTGTTGTGAGCATGGGGAATTTTTTCTTCGTAAAAGGGCTCCATCAGAACCAGAAGTTTATACATCAAAGGAGGTAACAGAGAACCCGTGACTCATGCGTTTTTAGCTTTAGATTCCTTTTTCCTCTATAACACTGTTAATAATGATGTATGGTCATATTCTGCCCCATGCGTTGAGATTCTTCCTGATTCTAACTGTGCTTCTAAAGTACAGTTATAACAACAATGATAACAGTAGTAATAAGCCTAAAATGAGATATGTTATTTTAACCTTAGAAATCATCCCTGGATAAAACTGGTCCCTTAGAAGGAGTAATCTCTACCTGAGTGTTCACCATAAACAGACTGGATAGACCTTCGGAGATAAATGCAATTATTTCCCTTTTTATTCAATATCTTTTTTTCAAAAAATTTTGCTAAACATACAAGGTGCATGACCGGAGCTGCCAAATTTAGATTGTTTGATATTAAGATGGACACAAGCATTGGACCCAATGGAGGATGTCAGACTTGCAGGAGTTCTAATCTAATGCCTCAACAGATAGCAAAAGTGAGAGGCTAGGGAGGAAGGATGTATTGAATTTTGACAAGAGTAGGTATATGTGTACTTGTTAACACACAGTTGCAGCAGACGTTTATGCCACTGTGTGTAGCATCTGCTTAGTGAAGCCTTCAGCAGAAAGAAAAGCCTCATTGTGCTAGACTTAAATTCTGATTCATTGAACAGTATCGTCTTCAGGAATGGAAGGCACCCTTGTGAACATGGGACTGAGAGAAAAACGCTTTTAACTACTGTAATTAAAACACAAAATGAGATTTTTGGCCACGTGAAAGCTAGCCACAGCACCGGATAAAACCTCTTGCCACGATCTTTCTGTCCTGCTTTCTCTCTGCTCTCATTCTGCGTTTGAGCGAGTGGAGACTGGGGGAATAGTGAAGTCCCAGAGGGACAGAGCTCTGTTCTTGCTGAAATTACAAGCACAGAGCTGCCTGGGCATGAACATGTAGTGTTTACTCTGCCAGTATGAATACAAATAGTCTTATTATACGGACTCTGTACCCAAAGACACCCACCCACCCACCCACACACACACCCACACACACACACACACGAATAAAAAAAAAATTTAAAGGTTTTTTTTTTAACCCTTTAAAGACTCAACAAACCTGGGTGGAAAGGGATGTCTTAACAGCACAGGACTATGGCTGGGAGCAGCAGACCATGTGTTTCCCTTTGCTCAGTGGTTTAATAATGATCTTGAAATCTAGAAATCTAATCGTATTAAAATTTTTTTCTTCTTGCGTTTCGTCAGTTTTGCCTTTCATCTTGTCCCACTCTTCTCCCTCCTCAGTTGCCTGTTTTCTTTGTCCTCTTTTCCTTTCCATCAAATGACCGAGTAGGATTGAAGCTGAGCATCAGCTTGCTGTTTGCGTCCTTGAACTCTGGAGGGGCAAGCAGGTAGTTACTACTGCCCGGCATGGCTGGTGAAGTCAGTCAGTGGCCAGCGCTAGATTATAGGGCCCCCGCGTGACAGGAATGAGGTCGGGGTTATTAGTATCAGACTCTGTTACCGAGAGCTGGAACGTACAATGGAGCATGTCCACTGAGAGACTGACCAGTCTGAAGATGGAATTTCAGCAGGCAGAACTCAGAGGGACAGCCTTGCCCAAGAGATGAGCGGGTGGCAGGGGGATATATTTCTTTGTGCCGGGCCCAGTTTTATCAGGGCAAGTTGACTTTCAGCAATTGCCATTTAATTTTCTTTGGCCAAGAGACAACTTTGTCATGAGTCTGGCACTCTACATATTACCCCAAGAATGATGTGAGGGGAAGGAAAAGAGCTCATGCTGATGAGGGAGCAAATCGGTCTGATCTCAAAGAGAATGGGCATCTGAACGGAGCCTTGAGAAATAGTTTTATTAAAGACAAAGATAAAAAAATGACCTGTTAATGTTCCAGGAGCCAAGGTGCGATGTAAAAGCATCGATGCTACATAGACATTAAATCATCATAATTGGTGTTCTCCAGAGGTGGCGGCTCCACCAGGTCATCATGGTGGGTGATACTGCATTACCTTGAAGGACTGGAGTTTCTGGGTTTCAAAGCCAGCCCACGGATATAAGGCATACAAGTAAAACAAGAGATTCCTGCAGAGTTTCCCCATGAATTGAGATGCTTCTCCCCATAATCAAAGGCAGAAAACCTGCACTTACCAGACCATCAGCTGGGTGGGTAGCCAGTCTTTCTCCCCAATTTTTTTTTTTCCAGGACAGTAAATAGGTAAAATGGTGATGGGACCAGAACTTGGAACAATTCAGTTCCATTTAGTTTTAGGGAACTTGTTTGCCATTTGAGGAAGAATATTGGCTGTTTCAGCAGAGATGTGACCTGCATTTCGAACACTGTGGCTGTGTTAAAAGCAAGAGAGAGAGAGAGCTTTTCTGAGGTGGTGTTAGCTGCTGTTTCTTTTCTATTTTCCTAGTTGTCCCTTTCCCATCGAGAGATGTAACTGAAGGAATGCCACCTTATGCATGATGAAAGCTATAGGAGAATACATTTTTCTCATTGTCAGATTTTGAATGGCATTGCGTTTAGTATGAATTTAGAGTAGGAATAAAAAAGATGTAGACCAAATCTGTGAATTGCGTTCCTTGCAAATAGCTCCAAAGATGAGTTGTCTAGGATTTTTTTTTTTTCTAATAGTTTCAAGTAAAGAAGAAAATTGAGGAAAATCTGATTGCAACATAGACTAAACTGATTTCACACTCCTGTGATGGGCACTGTATGTAAATACCCAGCTGGATGAATGTGTGCTGTTGAACCTGGATACAAAAGAAGTGCAGCTAACCAACAGTTGTACTTCACCACTTCTCAATTTGGGGGGAATTGTTTTCTTTTTCCTGCCAGTTTGCTAATCTGTTTTGATCATTTAGTGGAAGCTGTAATTGCAGGTGGGAACATTTTGAGTAACAGTTCACAATCCAAGGCAGCTCCTTTTCGCACCAAATCCTGTTATTAAAAAGCTCAGGCTAAGATCAAGCCAACGGCTGATAACCGACTTGACGGAGAACAACTTAACTTTGCCCAGAAGGACAAAGAAAGCACTGGCCTTCTTGAAACTGAGTTCTTACTTATTCTGAAATGTTATTAGCATCCTTTTATTAAATTTCCTAAACTGCTCTGTGAACTACGTGATGAATCTCCAAACCAGGCAATGATGAAAGGTACGATAGACAGGTACCTTTTATAGCAAAATTAGTGTGGATAGAAATGAGGGCCCTGTTATCCTTACTGTTTTAAAACACAGGCTTTTTAACAATATGAATCCATCCATTCCCTCTCATTGCTCCTGTCATAATGAAAAACAGTGATAAGAAGATGATGCTGTGTCTAGAAGCAGTTATAATAATTAGGTTTAAGATGTGTACTCTGAAAAGGATTGGTAGTTAGAGACTGGAATTCTTGCGTGGCACTTCATTATTTCCTTAAACTTTTTTCTGAGGGTTAAGTGTGTTTCAAATTGAATGCAATTTAATGGTCACCTCCACATACATACTACCAGGCTTAAAATTGTAGTGGCTCCAAGACTTCATTTTTTCAGATGGGCACTAGGTGTCAGGGTTTTTCCTTCTCAGCAGTCTAGCATTCAGATGAGCCTCTTGAATTGTCCTGCGTTGGGAGGCAAATCTAGTGATAGCCTTCTCTTTTTTTCAGTTGGTCTGGTAGGCTTTACCTCATTTTCCTAGAACGTGCCATTGCGTTTTTAACCCTTTGGGTGGAGATCTGTTGAATCTTATATCATGACTGCACATTTTCACGGGAAACATTTTTTTTAGGGGATGATTGAAGAGGGAAAAAAGTAGTATAAATTAAAGTTGAAAGGCTAGCTGCCGTTCTGACTGGTATCTTGGTTTCAGCTCTGCCTTATATTCTGAGGAATGAAATGGTGGCGATTAGGAATTCAGTTCTAAAACTGCTCAGCCCAGCCCACATTTAGTTGTCATGTAATTGTTGGCAAAGCACTGTTGTCCAGTTCTACCAAAGTATAAACATCTTTTTGATTTTTTTTTAAGTACAAAATATTGCAAGCCTATAGAAAAATTGGAAGAGAGATATGATAAATATCCCTGCATGTATTGACTAGCTTAAACAAATTTTACCATTTTGACCCTGCGCCTCACTGATTTTTTGCCATAGTCCTTTGAAATAGCTCGTTTGAGTATAAAAACAAAAATAAAATGTAGGAGTTGGGTAAGGAAGTTGGTAAGCTTATCTAAGTTTGAAAGGTTGGAAGAAATTAATTAGTAGATCCATTTTGACAGTTCTTAGGCTGGACCTCTTAACCCAAAGGACCTCTTATTTTAGAAAAAACACCATAACCCTCTATCTTAATTCACTTGGT